CGTCTCAAGTCTCTTTATTTGGCTTTATTGGAACTTGGGAAATAAAAGGTGCCATACAATACAAACATCCAGGGGGAATTGCTCCTATTGCGCAGTCATCGGCGAGGGCGCCGGAGAGCCCGGCCTGCTTGCGTTTCTTAAACAGACCTGGGGTTTGCCTTGCGAACAAAGCCGCCCGCTTTTAGTAAGTCGCAACGGCCGTCTGGGCCGGATGGGGGGGTGCCTATAAGGGGGCGGGCAGTTCGTTTGGCTGATGGCGCAGGGAGGGGTGCTTCGGCTGAGGCTTTGCAGCGATGCACGCGAAAGGCTTCCAGGGGGATCGGTCGGGCGTCGCCCTGTTCGCGTGCTCGACAAGCCTCGGCTCGTCCTTCGCTGGAGAGCCCGGCGGCCTCTTCTGTAGGCGCAGCGCCGTAGAGGGGAGAGGAAAGCAGCTCCCGGGCGCTGCACGCTCCGGTGGAGAAAGGGGCCATCCGTCCGTCTCTCTGCAGGCCAGTCCCGCTCTTGGGCCGGAGCAAGCGATGCTCCCCTTGGCGGCCCCGCCTTATGCGCAGGTCGGCACGTGGGAGGGGCAGCGAAGCCCGTAGAAGCCTGGCACCGACCGAGCAACAGCTGGCAGATCGGGCGTTGTCCTCTCGCCCGGGTCATCGCGTTCACCACTGCCGAAGAGGGGGGGTGGACGTGCACCTGCCGGCCGGGGAGAAGCAGGCTCCGGCTGAACCTCACAAGCCTGAAGGCTGCCGTACAGCACCGGGCCTTCCGCGGCTGGCTCTCCGTGGGGTCGCCAGTCCCCACCTGAGGCTTGCGCAGAGGCCAGTCCGCCCCCCCCCTTCCACGAGGGTTAATCGCGAGGGCTTTTTCCCGACAATAATTTGCGGTGGAGAAATCGGCGTCCATGTCGGGGCCTCCGGGATTGGGAGCTTTATTTTTCAAGCAGGGTGTGCGCTAGTTTGGGTCACCCACCCGCGCTGCTAACGCTGCTCAGGCTGTGTGTAATGCGGCGATTACTAGGACTCGTCTACTGAATGTTGGTGAGTACGCGTGTTCTCTGGTCTCGTGATAATGTGAAGGCTGTCTGCAAAAAGACGCAGCACAGCGACCGCTTTTTGTGGCTGTTTGGGGTGTGGAGGAAAAGTCTTTTTCCTTAAAACCTCTTCAGTGCTCTTTACAAAACCTCTCTGTGAGAGCCGTGTGTGGGAACAAGGAGTGTTTGTACAAATAAGCCAACAGCTGCCTCCATGCTGTTCTCCAGTAGGATGGAAGTTAATATCTGTGGAGATATCCAGAGGCCTTGCCAAGATCCCAAACAATGCACGGAGACCATTTGTTGGAGTAGACCTTGAGCGATTGAATGTTAAGTTTTGCTACACCTGAAATGTGATTTCCTCAAATTAACACAATGAAAGCTATCCCCTAAATACTTCATACTAGGTTTCTGCCTGTATGTTTGATTCTGTGCCATCAAGTCTGTGTTGACTCTTAGCGACCACATAGATAGATTTTCTCCATGATGATCTGTCCCCAGCTTGGTCCTTCAGGTCTTCCAAAGGTGCCCCCGCCACTGCTGTAACAGAGTCCATCCATCTTGCTGCTGGTCATCCTCTTCTTCTTTCCTTCCACCTTTCCCAGCATCAGAGCCGCCGCCTTCATCTTTGCATCATGTGTTTGAAGTAGGATAATCTGAGCCTGGTCATTTGTGCCTCGAGTGAGAACTCGGGGTTGATTTGTTTGATGATCCATTTGTTTGTTTTCTTGGCTGTTCACTGTGTTCTCCAGAGTCTTCTCCAACACTAGAGTTCAAAAACTTCTTATCCTGCTCCTTGAAAGTCCAACTTCTGCTTCCATAGAATACCACAGACAGGGATTACCATGTCTTGCACAATTCTGATCTCTGCAGGTATAGACACATCCCAGCATGTGAACGTCTTTTCCAAGGCTTTCATGGCTGCTCTACCAAGTACTAGTCTGTGATGTATTTCTTGACTACTTCTTTACTGTCAGTGGTTGATTCTAAAAGGCAGAAGCTATCCACCATTTTGATATCTTCATTGCCAACTGTGGGAAAAATGCCTACTTAAATTTGGAGCCAAAGTGATTGGAAATAGCCAAAGTGTCTTTTAACAACAAGAACAATGACAGTGAAATGTGACCAAAAGGAATGCAGAAGAGCCCTGAGTAAAGCAAGGTTACAGGTCATAAGCCTTTGGTTTATTGCATAGGAATGATAAAGAAAATATTGTAAATCGTATTATGACCACTACAGCGAGAGTGTCTCTGATAATACTGAGGGGATCTCTTTACCGCAGTCTCCTTATATCATTCAGTGCACTGAAGATGTTACCTAGCCAGGTAATGAAACGTTTGCAAGAAAACAACCAAGCTCAGAGAACCCCAAGGACTCCGCAGTTCAACCCTGAGCTACACATACTTGCTTCTATTGGAACGTGGGCCTCTGATGGTCCAGTGTTTAGAAATTGGGGTAGAGCACAGGGGGCCAGAATGCTGAATTGGTACTAAACACTAAGACTGCATTCCCCAAGAGTGGCCCACCCCCGACGCCTGTACTATCTCCCTCTACCTGCCACTGCTGCAGTGTTCCTACCAATCTCCCAAAAACCTCCCTTTCCCCAGATTCATGCTGTCCCAACACCAGACCTAGGGGCTCCATCCACTTCCCTATCAAGCATTAATTAACCAGAACTAGCCTGGGTCACTGGGCCACTTCTGCCTTCAATGATTCCAGCTCCCCAAGCCAACAATTCCTCCAACCAATCCTCCCCCCCGCAAACATCGATTTGCCCCCCCCAGCTCTCCACCCATTCTCCCCATATCACTAAGGGTGCCCATTCTTCCCAAAAGATGAGTTACAGCCTACTGCTTCCCCCCTCCCGGTTCTCACTAGGGAAAGGGCACCTACAGTGCCACAGGTGGTGCAACCCAACCTTCTGCAGTCTACTGCAGTCCCAACCATCCACAGGCCAAACATTCTGAGATCTACAAGCCAGAATCTTCTAGGAGAAGACAGAGAATCCACGAGGACAGGCAGACAGCCAGGAACAACCATGGCTGCCCCTCCATCCTCTCCAGGTCCAGTTGCTGTGAGATGGAGACAAAATGGCCACTGCACTAGGTGGGATTACACAGTAGCAGCAGGACCCAGGCCAGACCAACATCTCCACTGGACCACTCCTGCTTCAGTTGCCAAAAGTCCACTGATGTTGGGTACCTAAAGCCTCTGGCATACCTGACTCTCTAGGAGATCTGCTGCTGCCTGATCCTCTGCAGCCACCTCTGCATGCAGTAGCACACTGCCGGTCTCTTCAGAGCTGCTGGCTTGTCCTCGTCACTCCACCATGCATGAAGCAGCTGATTGGCACATCGCCAGCTGGGCTCTGCTGCCTTTACTGGCCTGCTGGAGGACTCCGCTGCCATCACCAGTCCAGCAGGAGGTCAGGCACTGAATGCGTCCTGCTCAGGCTCCCCCATCACCCAAAGGCCCAACATGGAGCTTGGTCCGTGCTGGCTCGGTTGGAGCGCATCTCTCCTGTCTTGCTTTGTCTGACTTGGGAAAACTCTGGAAGAGCCCTCAGTACAGTCCATAGGACCCTTCCACAGCCCCCCACCCTCTGACATAGTGCACCCTCAAAACAAAACCTCTGGCCCATCCAGCAAGCAACACTGGTTTGGGTGCCATGTTGGGAAAAATGACAACAGAAGTTTGTTATTTACAGGATTTAAAGGCTCTTCTGATTAACAGGCCCTGAACAGTTCCCCCAAATCCATAATTTGGAATTGAAGCAATAATTCATCATCCAGAGGGATAATCCAAATAGTTAGAACAGTACAGTAGTGTTCCCAGGTGCAATGTAAAGCTGTGAATGCTGGAGTTTGAGAAAGAGCAGGCAGTGAGATGTGCCACATATGGGGAATCTCTGTGTCCTGCACTCATAGAATCATCGAACGCCAGGTTGGATGGGACCTTGAAGATCATCTGGTCCCTACTATTAGCTAGCCTCCTTTTGAACTTTTTAAAGAAACTTTGGGCATTTAATAATTGAAAGTCTGGGAAAACTTGCTTTGAAGGATAGCTTGCAACTTTTTTGAAAAACAAATATATGAAAGCTGGTGCTTTGCCCCTTTATAGTTGACCTTTAAAATGAAAATAAAGAATAAAGTCAGGCGCTCTGCAAGTAGACTGACGTAGCACGAAATAAAAAGAAATGTGCATTTCTTATTTTTTCCACTCATTTAAAATGTTTCCCGCCTACAGTCTGAAATCTGAAGTTACAAAAGCAATCTTTGAGAAAGCCTTTGCCTTAAATCTTGTTCACATTCCGTTTTCACACAATAGAAGATTATTTACCCAACAGAGAAGAATACTGATAAGGTCCACAAGGCTAAAAATAGGGCTCATGTGGACAAAGAGTCACAATGGATATTTTGTTAAAGATCATGGGGGGAAAAAATTGCAAATCATATTCCTCTAGGCAAGCCAGTCAGGACTTCCCCTTTTGTGTTTCAGGGGATTTTCTGTCGTTTTGCATTCTGTTCCTTGGGACAGATATATCGTATTGATCTATTAATCGATTTATTTACTTCCAGAGAGTATGATGCTTAATGAAACAACCAGGAGAAGGCTGATGTGATGTATTACTGAAGTTCAAATCTCTGTTCATCCATGATGTTCATTTGGTGATCTTTGGAACAGTTACTGTTTCTCAGCTTATCTCACCTTAGAGGATCCTCTTCAAGGAACAGTCTTTGAAGGCATTTCAAAAATGGTGGCTCATCAAAATGTGTCAATCTTGGTTTCCAGGAGGTAGCATATCACCCCCGTGTTGAAACAGCTGTGCAGGTTACTGATTGCAGTTTTTACATGTACAATATTCCAGGTTCAGACCATTGCAAATCTAGTTAATTGTGATGGAAGACTTGAGTGAGGAGGTCCAAGGTCATTGGAAGTCAGAGAGGAATCTCAAGCATCTCCTCAGCCCACAGCTTGAGGGTGTGAAAACTAAGAGGGTGAGACTGGCATCACCCTAAGGAATTCAGAGTGTTTAGTTGCAGTCGTTGGGGGTTAGAGTTAGTCTGGCAAGATTCTGTCTAGTGGGTGTAAGCTAATAAAGTAACTGAAGTGTTCCTGAATTGTCCTGCTAAGTTTCTTGGGCTGAAATTGACATCAAAGCATTTGAGATATGTGGGAAAGGAGGACCTCTGCGTGGTCACTCATGCCCTGGTCACCTCCCGGTTGGCTTACTGCAACGCACTCTATGTGGGCCTACCCTTGAAGAGTTTTCAAAAGCTACAGTTGGCACAAAATGCAGCAGCGCAGTTTTGAACACCCCCAGGGGGACACACATAACACCTCTGTTACGCGAGCTGCATTGGTCGCCGGTTTGCTTCCTGGTCCAATTCAAGGTGTTGGTTATTACCTTTAAAGCACTTCATGGCACAGGAACAGGTTATCTGAGGAGCTGTCTTGCCCCTGTTATATCCGCCCACCCCACTTGGTCCAGCAGAAGGGGCATGTTGCGGACCCCACCAGGCGAGGAATTTCAGCTGGCTGGGTCTAGGAAGAGGGCCTTTTCTCCTGTGGCCCCTGCCCTGTGGAACAGCTTGCCAGCTGAGGTGTGGGCTGCCCCCACTCTCCTGGCCTTCTGAAAAAGCGTGAAAACATGGCTATGCCAGATGGCCTGGGGGTCTGATGGGGGCTTGCATTGTTGGAATTGGCTGGTGGGATGACCAATACTGCTCCCCGTCATCTTGAATTGCATATAGGCTTTTTATATATAATTGTTACTACTTATTTTAATTTATATGTTCATTTTTATTGTTTCAGATTTTAATTGTAAGCCACCCAGAGTCACCCTCTGGGGGAGATGGGCGGCATATAAGTGTAATAAATAAATAAATTAATAATGAAGGCCTCAGATGCTTGCAGTTGGACTAAACAAATGCTGGGATGGATAGCCCAAAATACATTTCGTACAACCAGATGTGACTTTTTCTTGCCCAAAACTGCCTTCCTCAGTCTGATACCCAAGAGACGTATTGGATAACAGGTCTCATAATCTCTGGCCATTCCAGTCAGGAAGATTCAAGTGGAGGGCAGCAAATTGAAGAAGAGTGGTTTAAGGAAGTATCTTCTGTACAGTAATATGTCAAAGATATTGTGTGCAGCAATGAGTAATACCAGTTTCTTTGATTTCCATGCAGTCTGAATCTTGGGGGCTTTTTTCTAACATAGACAGCTTGGAAGATGCCTGGGGAAATTACAGGTGAGGCATTAATATTTTACTTTCACCTAGCTGAGAACTAAAGAAAGCAGGACAAAAACCTTAGGATACTGATGAGGTCAGAGGAAAACTTACTGATTCTATGGCTAAAACCATTGGTTTCTATTCTAAAGAGAGCAGCCACAATAAGTAAGCTAGGTATGAGTTGAAAAGGCAAACATGGATAGACAAAAGCTTTGATCAGCAATATTTGGAGAGGACTGGACTCAATCTAGAATTAGGGAGAACTGAAAAGAGGGATTGTTTTCTTCAGTCATCTTTGGTTCTTACGGTAAGAGCTGTTCTGGAGCCAAACACTCTAAATCTGATGAATCAGGAGGAGCATCTGAAACGACTCCTGCAGACATTCTTCTGAGCTTCATTGAGTAAGTCAGACTGTCACACCTGGAATTATGTTTCGAATGTCAGTTTCAGATAGAATTCAGCAACATATATATCTGATGATGCAAAAGCAAGGTGGTCTTCCAATATGCACCAAAAAAGCAATGGAAATACCCCAGATCTAGGCCTCAGTATTGTCACATGACATGGGCACCACCCCCTAATATAATTGCCTGAAATCTTGCAAGATCCCCCCTGTGGAGGGAGGGGGAGGAAGATGTGGGACGTTCATTGCTTATCTATTGCATGAAATCTTGCAAGATTACAACTCTCATGAGACTTTTGGCAGTCACCTTGGAATCCTGTATGTGAACATTCAGCAGTGCAGGATGTGGGGATCTTGTGAGGATTCAGCTACTTAAAATATTCTTTAAATTGTTTTGACTGGGAAAGACTGGGAGCCCTGCTTGGGTATTGGGGGCAGTGTCTTCCCAATAGCAAAACCAGACCACATCTGGGTGTATTCTCATAATTGTTGTCTTCTGCCTTCTGATAGAGACAGGAGGAGATTCGGGATGTTGTGATCGTTTGACTCCTGAGGTGACCACTGCATCTTCTCCTAGGAGTCTTGATGCAAAGAATGCAAGAAATGCTGGTAAAAACAAAGGCGGAGACTTGGAGGGGAGAGTAATGAAACAAAGTGGGTGGAGCTGTGTTACACTTATGGTAAAAACCAGGATTCTTTATTTTTTCCTGGCTTTGAGGAGAGGAAGTTGGGGCTGTTCCTTTTTTTGAAAAGAAAAACCTCACACAAAGCCAACTTTAGGGCCAACCCTGTGGCTTTGATGAGTTTCCCACATCGCCTTGGTGGGGGTTTCCCATTTTCAGGGCAGATACCCGGCCATTGACTTTTGGCAGTTGGAGTTGGAAATGGAAGTCCAGATCATCCAAGGGGGAAGGAATTGACGTTAGTATCTTTGTCGCAAAGAACAAGATCTGGTTAATTGCTGTAATGCTGTTGCAGAAGTTGAGGTCGGGGTGGCTTGCTATTTTTCACTGTGCTTTCCTCTTTAAAGTGAAGTGGTTTTTCTTCTAAACATTCCTTCAACTTTTAGAAGCAGGTCTCTGCCCTTCTCCTTCCTTCCCTCCCCCTCAGTTGCTTTGCATGACTGTGTTGTGGTGCAGCTGAGTTTTCTCATTTTTTAGAACTGCTTTCCAAAGGGTAACCACCTGTGCAGCGAAGGGTTTTCTGGTACTATCTCACGTAAAAGTTTCCTAGCTGATAGGTAAGGCAAACAGTAGGTGCACTGAATTACAACTATGAATAACTGCAAGATTGGTACATATGTTGGGAACCCCCTCTTAAGGATGACCTTCAGCGCAGAGCCGATGCCTACGAACAGCACTGAAGGAAGCTGGGGAATATCTGCTACTGTCAGGCCTAGCCCAAGGAACTCCAAGAGACAATACAAATTCAGTTCAGCTATGTTTATTAGCTACAACCTCTTGCAAGAATCTCCCCAGACTAAACCCCCAGCTCCCAAGTCGGCCAGCCACAACAGTGTGAATTCCTCAGGGAGATGCCAGTCTCATCCTCTTGTAGCTCCCACACTCCTCTGGCGAGATAGGAAAATGTTTATCTCCCTGAGCCTGGCCTTCATAATTCCATTCCATCACAGCTACTGCCTCTCACAAGGACTTCTCAGTAGCACAAGAGACATGAGATTTAGTCTTGCATTTACATTCATCTAAATGTTGCCCTGATTCGCTTTACTGTCTTGTGTGTGGATATTTCCTGCTTACATTATACTTTGCAACTGAAGTCTGTTTTTGCTTTGCTTTCTTTTGCTCAGTACTTTTTTCCAGCTTCTCCCTCATGTGTGGGTTCATTGTTTCCAACCTCCTGCCCACATTGTGTTATGGAAAAAACAGTTGCGGCACTTGAATTGTATTTTGTGATATTAAACCTTTGGACTTGGTGTTATGCTTTCACAAAGTGTTCCAGCTTTTTCTTCTGGCTGGGCTGTTGGGTATTTAAGAGTGGTGGGATTCAAAATGACTTTGGGTCTCCCACGACTGTGAGAAGGATGAAGGATATTAGCCACTCCAGTCTCCAGAACTTGATCTATTCTGTGGGGAAAGAAACTGAAGACCATACAAAACAGACACCAAGGTTGTGCTTCTTGGAGGCCCCCTAAGTGCCTTCCTTCTTCTTTCCCTGTGGAGGGAGGGGGAAGAAGATGTGGGACGTTCATTGCTCATCTATTGTGTGAGCCACAACTGCAAGTCAGACCACAGCCTTTAACTGTCAGTAAGGGCAAGCACATCAGCCTTCTTCAATCAAAAGCTCCACAGATGTTGTGGACTTCCTTTCTGAAATTCCCCTGCGATACAGCTTTGTATGCCAGCTGGAGTACATAAAGCTGAAAGAAGACAGTTCTGAGATACAGAACATGACAACTGTTCATAAAATTATAGCCAGTCATTTGGGGTAAATATGCAGCCTCTTACCATAAAGCGCAAATTCTGACATTAACAGTGGCTGTTTCTTTTCCTCCTCCTCCTCCTCCTCCTCCTCCGTCTGTCCGTCCATCCATCCATCCATCCATCCATTTATTTATAAAACTTACATAGCCACCCATAGTGTGACTACAACCCTGGGTTGCTCACAAGACAATAAAAACAGCAAAAAACGTAAACCATCACAATAAAATCATGAACTTCATCTAATACTTTCCTGTCTGTTTTTCAGCTCTCCTACCTAAGTGCATTACAGAAAAAAAGTTCACTATAGCAGTTGTTGTTCTAGTCACAGTTTTGATCATTGTTATAATTTCATTGGCTGGTAAGTAATAAGACATTCCTATTTAATTTTGTCCATAGTTAGTTGTTGTTATTGTCCAAATCCAGATCCCCACATGCAGGAATGGTTAAATTTAAACCAGAGGACAACTTGGAAGGGGGTGGCAGCAACTGGTGGGGAGAGTCAAATAAGTCAAGATGATGCATGCGGCAGTGCAGTTGAAGCCTGGACTTTTTGTACGTGTGTCTGTGTTGCGTGCTTATCCATAAAAGCAGGAGTTTTAATGTAGTGTTGTGATTGCCATCTGGACTTTTTTGACACCCCTACAAATGCCCCTGGAAGGGAAGATTGTTAGGTGAAAGATAGGAGAAGACAAAGCAGATGCAGGGGGAAAGACAGAAGATAGTATGATCCAACATAAACAAGTTTGCATTTGATTCAACAGCCTTTCGTTAATTGACCATTTCTCTTCTTGTTTTTTCACACACCCTCAAGTAATCCATTCCTACTATACCATTTTTTGTTGTTTTGTTTTAGTGGTGTCATGATCATCACCAGATCATGGCCAATAAATATTGACTTCACTGCCCATCATGGCTTTGAACAACTGATGCTTCCGTGTAACCCATTTGTAAGATATAGCTGTAGACTTGGTTACTAGCCTTAGGCATGGCTGTGTCACATGCAACATTCCCAACTAATGGTAAAGACAGGATTGATTAGTTCTGGCATGTTTTGGCCACACTGCCGTAAGTACAACCAGAGCCTATTAGTATTCCAAATGTGCTCATGCTATTCTGTGCAAGCTAAGATCTCTAAACTAGAGACTATCTTGCAACCCAACATACAGTTGTTTGCATCAATCAACTAGGAGATATAGGAAGTGTACTGACACATATTCAGGATACAAATCTAAAACTACATTATAAAGTTATAGATGTGTTTGTGCATACAGGTAGTCTTTGGTTAGCGACCACTCATTCAGCAACCATTCAAAGTGGAAACTCTTGAATAAGGAGACTTGTGACTGTTCCTCGAAGTTGTGGCTGTCACAGCGTCCCAGCAGTCACATGATCATAGTTTGGGTGTTTGGCAACCAGCACGCATTTACAACTGTCACAGCATCCCATGGTCACGGATCACCATTTGTGACCTCCATACATGACTTTCGGTAAGCAAAATCCATGGGGAGACCGGCAGGAAGTCACAAGTCATGGTCATGTGATGTTGCACTTAATGACCCACAGTGATTTGCTTAATGACCGCAATCAGAACTGACAAACTGCCATTGTAAGTTGGGCACGGTCACATGATTTTTCACTTTACGACTGTGTCGCTTAGCAACGGAATTGCCAGTCCCAATTGTAGTTGGTAAGTGAAGACTACCTGTATGTACAGATTAACTCACTTGGCTTCCTTAAAAAATCCTGGAATTGCAATTTAAGTGAGGAAGCTTAATATTAACTATTCAAACTTTGTTGTCAGAGTTATAGTTAATTGTGAGTTCTAAGATTTGTGCATTTTCTTTTATTTCCAGTTAAAAAAACACCAATATTTCCGCCTTGTCCTCTTCCTGTTAGGGCTGCCTGCCCAGATTCCTGGATCGGATACAGAGGAAAATGTTTTTATAGATCAAAAGAAGAAAGCACTTGGGTTACCAGTTCAAAGAATTGTTCCTCATTTAATGCGTCCTTGGCTGTGATTGATACTAAGAATGAATTGGTAAGGAACATGATGATTAATTAGATAATTGTCCTGGCATTCACAAATACAAAAAAGCAGTCCTTTTAAAACTTCTGTTTTTTTATTATTGTTGTTGGTTGCACAGTCAGCCAGATGTTTACACTGGATTTGGCATTTTTATCTACCTATTGAATCCTTCCCAAGGTTCTGGGATAGGCAGATGTTGTTGTGTGATGGTGTTAAAGGTATCATCGCAAGATATAAGCTGTTCCAAGTAAAGCTGCCTTTTGCAATTGACTGATGGTGATTTTGTCAATGCCGATGGTGTTCAAGTGGTGCTCCAGAGGTTTTGTAAGTGCACATAAGGCACCTATTACTATTGGTACTAACATTGCTTTCTTTTGCCACAATCATTCTATTTCTATTTGCAGGTCTTTGTATTTTGTGATTTTCTCCAGTTCTTTCTCTTCTCTTCTGCTGTCTCTTCTCTTCTGCTGTCTCCAGGTATTGCAATGTCCACTATCCAGACTTTTTTGCCTTTCTTATCAACAATTGTTAAGTCTGGGCTGTTATGTGGCAGGGGCTTGTCTTCCCCACAGCCCTTGAGTTTTTTCATTTTCTATTTCTTTTTCTGT